CCGCCAAGAGGAGGGTTGGAGAGGAAGAGGCAAAACCAAGGTGTCATTGCTTCTGAGAACCACTGGTTGAGCGTGTTTCCTTTCCTTTCAGCAAAACACGAAACAACTCCGCCCTGTGAGTACAAATCTCCAAAAATCAGCTCTCAAAAGCTGTCAAGCAGGAGTCAAGCTAGCTAGCTGGTGTGAAGAAATCAGGCAACTGAACCAACCCAGAGGCTGGAGTCAACCCTCAGTGCTCCACAGATATTCTGCTCAAAACCATTTCAAAATCCACAGACAAATACGTTACAGCAGATCGGTTTCACCCAGTGAGAAACAAATTAACATCTGTCTAGAAAATGATGCTCTGTTGTACCCTTTGTCCTCTTCTGCAACTCCCCCTCCAGTTTTCATTCAGTTTTAATTCCTGCTCAATTCTGTTTTTCTGAAGAGAGAACAACCCAGGGATTGCAACTCTGAACTGCATGTTTTCTAGCTAGTGAAAAATGTATGTGTTCTAGTAGGTGTTCTTGCCAAGACAAATACAATGTAAAAACATAGTGATTTTCATTATTAAGCCTGCTTTGTCAGATATGGGATTTTCAGAGTCCCTGAATTCAGTAATAATATTATCTACTATAAGAGATTAGGTAAGCAAGTGCTAATTAAACTGCTGGACAACAGCCAAGCTATCACTGCTAAACAAGAGTTACCTGAACAGATACATCTCAAATAAAGGCAAGAGATGCTACTTAAAATACGCCTGGTTTTTCAGTTCACCAAACATTTCAGATGATACAGTCATGAAGCTTGCAAAGACAATGCTTGTCCTGGTTTCGGCAGGGATAGAGTTAATTTCCTTCCTAGTAGCTGGTACAATGCTGTGTTTTGGATTTTAGATGAGAACAAAGTTGATGGGGCTTTGATGGGGGGCCGCTGCTCGGGGACTGGCTGGGCATCGGTCGGCGGGTGGTGAGCAATTGCACTGTGCATCACTTGCTTTGTGTATTATTATTATTATTATCATCATTTTATTTCAATTATTAAACTGTTTTTATCTCAACCCATGAGTTTTTCTCACTTGTGCTCTTCCAATTCTCTCCCCCATCCCACCGGGTGGGGGGGAGTGAGCAAGCGGCTGCGTGGTGCTTAGCTGCCGACTGAGGTTAAACCACGACAGTCCTTTTTGGCGCCCGAACAGGGATCTCCAGGCTACAAATGGAATAAGTTTTTCTTACATTGCTGGACAGCAATTCCTCCTCTCTGTTCATTGTAGAATTAAACGTCTTAAGGTAACGTAAGAGACAATGTTGATTTTCAGACATGAAAGTTTTAAAAGGAAAGATTTTTCTTAACACAAAGCCCCTCAAGTTAACAGTGTAGCTGTACAGCTCAGTAAATCACAAAATCAACAGATGACATGAGGCTGCAGGGCACCTCTGGAGATCATCTAGTTGAACCCCCTGCTTAGAGCTGGGTCAGTGAGAGCAGGTTGCTCAGAGTCATGTGCAGTTGAGTTTGGAATATCTCCAAGGATGGAAACTCCACAACTTTGATGAGCAACCTGTTCCAGTGTGTGACCACCCGCATAGTAAAGAATTTTTTTCTTATGTTTAAGTGGAATTTCCTGTGTTTCAGTTTGTGCCCACTGATTCTTGTTCTGTCACTGGGCACCACTGAGTAGAGTCTGGCTCTGTTGCCTTTACCTCAACCATCAGGTATTTATACAGAGGGACAAGATTCCTGTGAGCCTTCTCTCTCCAGGCGGAGCAGTCCCAGCTCTCAGCCTCTTCTTATATGACAGATGCTCCAGTCCCCAAATGGTCTTCATGGCCCTTCACTGGACTCAGTCCAGTATGTCCATGTCTCTTTCGTACTGGGGAGCCCAGCACTGGACCCAGCACTTCAGTTTGTCTCATTAGGGCTGAGTAGAGAGGCAGGATCACCTTACCTCAACTTACTGGCAACACTCTGGCTCATACAATTCAGGACACTGTTGGCTGCCTTTGCTGCAAGGGGACACTGGTTTCTCATGTCCAACTTGGTGTCCACCAGGATCCCACAGTCCTTCTCCGCAGAGACACTTTCCAGCTGGTTGGCCCTGGCCTGTGCTGGTGACTGGAGTTATTGCTCCCCGGGGGTAGACTTGGCATTTCCCTTTGTTGAACTGCACAAGGCTCCTCTTCACACATTTCTCCAGCCTGTTGAGGTTCCTCTGCATAGCAGTACAACCACCTGGTGTACCAGCCACTCACCACAATTTTGTGTCTTCTGCAAACTCGCTGAGGGTGTACTCTGAGCCATCATCCAGGTCACTAACGGAGATGCTGAGCAGGATTGGCCCCAGTATTGACCCCTGGGGTACATCACTAGTGACTGACCTCCAACTGGACTTTGCATTGTCAGTCACAACCTTTGAACCCAGTAGTTTAGCCAGTTTTCAACTCACTGCACTTATATAGTCCTTGTTTGGTCAGCTTGCCTATGAGGATGTTATCGGAGTGTTGAAAGCCTTTCTGAAGGCAAGGCAAACAACAGCTGGATGCCAGGTGCCCACTAAGCTGCTCTATCACTCCCCCTGCTCAGCTGGACAGGGGGAGAAAAAAAATATGACAAAAGGCTCATGGGTTGAGATAAGGACAGGGAGATCACTCAGCAATTACTGTCATGGGCAAAAGAGACTTGACTCAGAGACATTAATTTATTTGTTACCAATCAAATCAGGGTGGGGTAATGAGAAATAAAACCAAATCTTAAACCACCTTCCCCCCACCCCTCCCTTCTTCCCGAGCTCAACTTCACTCCTGATTTTCTCTACCTCCTGCCTGCCCAGCAGCGCATGGGGACAGGGGGAATGGGGGTTGTGGTCAGTTCATCACACATTGCCTCTACCACTCCTTCCTCGTCAGGGGGAGGACTCCTCACACTCTTCCCCTGCTCCAGCGTGGGGTCGCTCCCATGGCAGACAGTCCTCCATGAACTTCTCCAACACAAGTCCTTCCCACGGGGTGCAGTTCTTCACAAACTGCCCCAGCATGGGTCCCTTCCATGGGTGCAGTCCTTCAGGAACAGACTGCTCCAGCGTGGGTCCCCCATGGGGTCACAAGTCCTGACAGAAAACCTGCTCCAGTGTGGGCTTCCCACAGGGTCACAGCTTCCTTCGGGCGCATCCACCTGCACCGGTGTTTGGTCTTGTCTCTGTTGGAGTCCTCTACAAGCTGCTGAGGCTTCTCACAGAAGCCACCCCTGTAGCCCCTCCTCTACCAAAACCTTGCGATGCAAACCCAATACATCCCTTCATCTACCAAGCCAGTCATCTCACCAAAGACTAGCAGGTTGGTAGAAGGCTATGAGGCTGGTAAACAGTGCACCATTGCCATTGTTAGTAAAAGGTCACAACCTTTCTGTTAGTTGTGCAAGGTCTCAGGACTTTCCAGCTTTTGTTTGGGCTTCTCATGGCCTGCCTGGAGCTTTGTTTTCATCTGTTTAGCAGTAACAGCAGTTTTTCTAAGGACAAGGTGGCTATTGTCTAATTTATTTTAATTTTGTTTAATGCCATGCAATTATACAAAGTACTATTAAGCATAATTTTTATATTGATCAACAAAGAGCCGTGATCAATGAGGAGGGCCTCATCTGGTGCTGCAGCAAACCGGGTTCCCAGCATCAGAATGCATGTAAGATCGCTGTCTCCTTTTCTACTACTTCAATTCTTTATATAATAAATCAGTTAACTAGTTTGAGTGTCAGTGCCTTTCATACTGTAATCCAAAAGAATGAACATCTCCTCAGTACCAAACAGTGACAACAAAACTCCCCTACCTCTCCACCCACACTGAAGTCTATGGCCTTATGACTCAGAGGAGCAGTGGAAGGATGAGCATAAAAGCAGAGAAAGGCATGGAAGCAAGAATGTACATGTGTAGCAATTTTAACCACATTGCTTAAATTCTGTTATAATTTTTTTCCTGTACTAGTATTATTCTTTTTTTTCCTCTGGTTTTCTGCAGCAATCAGATATGGACTAAAAATAATTGCTTGATTTTAAGATCTGATGGTTAAGATTCTAACTGTTCTTGGCTTTGTTCTTGGCTTACATAGGATGAGTAGTCCCCTTTTTACCCATAACAAGACTGAGTGTAACAGATCACTGGAGAAGGCAGAAAGATTTTGACTGTAAAAACAGCTGGTTTTAAAATTAAACATTGGTGGATGGACCGTGCACTGTTGAAATCACTCTGGCATCTATATGACTTCAAAAGAGAAACAATTAGGTTATTTGTGAGCTACTGCTGCTCTTTTGTCTTGAGAAGTCACTGCACCATCACTAGTTTATAAGTTGCTATCGAAGATGTTACTGGGGATGAACAAAATCTGTGTGTGCATTGATGTTTACTACTTCGGACAGCAGAAATTGCCATATCCATACATATTTTAGTTTTAATATTAAATCATGTCTTCTTCTTCTTGGTCACCGCCAGGCATCCAGTCCAGTGACAATCATATACACTGTTAACCAAGAAACAAAAATGTATAATAGATAGCCTTTACAAAACAACATTGCTCCAATGTATGTGAATATTGCAATATTAAAATATTGATAACTAAAATTAATAACTGCAATATATTAAACGTATGGCAGATGACGTATCACAAAGGAGTGGTAATTACAAAACATATTTTGTCTCCTTTGACAGAGAGGTTGAACTTCACAGGTGTGGTATTTTAGAGGGACTAATAAAAGGACTCAAAAACTCATAACTTTTCCTTATTACCTACACTTACCTCATAATTTCATTTGTCTTCTGTGGGTTCAGAAATCCCTAAACTGAGCATTTCTAACCCTTCAGTTACAATATCTTATTACTTAAAGATAAGTGACCACTTACAGCTTGGGCTACTTACCTGTTTTTAAACAACAAAAAAATTAACAATGCATGTAAACAAGCTTTTATCTGTATTCAGTTCCCCTTTTACACAGGAATGATTAGCTTAATTTTCATAATTTCTGATGACAAGCTGTCAAAAACATGCTTTTTTCCCCCTCCTGATTTATCTTGAAAAAGCACTACCTCTCTCCTACTAAATTATTCAAAATCACTAACTAGAATATTTAGTATGCTTTTTTAAATAAAAAATAAATAAAAGAGAAAACATGCAGTACTGCAAGACAAAGCTGTGTATGATGTATATGAGTTCACGCAAAAGTGCCATTTTTCTTCTCCCAGGCACCTGATCAAGTACTGCATATATATGTCAGAATTCTCCATGTATTAAAAGAGTATCTATAGAGAACAGGTGAATTAATGTTTAAAACCCCTAAGTATCAATTTATAAATCCAGTAAAACAAATCAGTGAAACATCTATTTCTTGAAATAATTCTGATCTTGCTTCTTTCCCACACATCCTAAAAAGACATTTTTGTTATTAGATGAGGCACTGTGCATTGCTGATATTCATTAGGGAAAAAAACCTGCCTATTCCACTTCAACTGCACTATGCTGGTAGTTCAGGAGGCATACAAAATACTTGGTTTTCATTTCTATTTTCCTCTCCAAATTTCTTTCAGTTCACTAGAAAGTGCATTTCTCCTTATTGAGTTCTATTCTTAGTTACATACATTTTTATTTATGTTTGTAGTCTGGCTTTGCCACTTTAAGGGTTTGTTGAGGCCTCTCCCAGTGAGATCTGAACCTGACTAGGAGAAGGAGGAAGAGATGGATGCACAGCTGTCAGCGAGTGCCACTTTATGCTAACTGCCATGTCTTGGCAGGTCTTCTCTAGATATTAAAGCTTTGATCCTGAAACACTTACACAAAACATTGTTTTAAAGAATTTGAATGGCTAAAGTTAATAAGACCTCCCACATGCTGAGGGTTATTCAGATGTCAAACGTCTGCAAAACTGAGACCCAAGACTCTTCTCAGCTTCTTTTTCTTGCTTTTCCACCCTCCCTTCTACCATTTTAAGCAGGTAAGAAGCTGGGAAGCAGATTAGATGCATAAAGCACACAAACACAGAGAGCATGTTCGTGAATGGTATCTACAATTTAAATTTCATAGGCAGAAGGTGGTCTTCCTCTATTGTATCTTTGGCTTACTGAAACCCAGACAGTACTTCAGTATGCCATCACATACGTTGGTAAGGAGTCCCATTTTCTGAAGCTTTTGCCAGAATACGCACAAATGAGCGAGCATCATGCAGCACAGAGGCTCTCAAAATCTTTCACTGCCTCAGACATCAGTAATTTTTTAGTCAGGAAGCACACGGAGGAATTAATCCCTACCTGAGAACCATTTGTTGTTGCGGCAATAAAACCCCTTATATCAGCATGAGTTGTCCATACTTGCATAATAGAGCTCTTTTTTTCCCCTCTAAGCTTCATGTAATTACATATTCATAAAAATTCAGTGCAGCAGACTTTGGATTTACTTATCATATGTCTTACAGACCTCATTAGGAAATTGTGTGAAAAAACTAACTCATTTTAAGGTTTCAAACACAAATTTGCAGGTGGATGTTAGAATTTTGTACCAGTCTTATCTGGCGTATATATTCATTGTGTCTATGTAAGTGTAAGTATAAGTGTAAGTATATGTATGACATAACTTAAAGAGTGTTAAGGATGCTTCTAATCTGGTAAGAATGAACACTAAAGCTAGCAGAGTTTTTCTATTTTCTTCTATTTATTTCCTAATTTCAATGAAGGCCTCCTTTCCCCCTTGTTCAAAAAGGAACAAGGAAAACTCTTCTCAGAAAAACAAACAAACAAACAGATACATACACAAACAAACCAATCACCAGGTCTGAGATTCCGACATTAAACCCCCTCCCCCAAGATCTTGAAAAGGAAAACATATAATTGTGTATAAGCTTTTCCTTTCTTGGTGCTGTGTCACACACATAGATTGGGTTTATGACTTGGATTATGATTATGTAAGTACATACATAACACTTAACTACATCTTTCCCTTTCTCTGTTTTTCTTCTCCTATTATATTGAAACTGTGCCTTATTTTGTGCTATTAGTTTTATTCGCAGTCATGAAAAATCCACAGGATTCTCATAGTCTAAGCAAACATGATCAAAAAAAACCCCAAAAAACCTCACTGAGTTTGAAATGCTTGATTCATCCACCTTGTCCAGCAGCTTTTGTCACATATATTACAGAGGTATCAGTAGCAACACCACAGTTAATGCTGTATTGAGATGTGCACTTG